AGTTGTTGGGAGAAGGCAGATAAAAAAAGAGCCAAGTTTTATGGATGAGTATGGCTTGTCACAGAAACATTAGGAGGTGGATTAGAAGAGTCTTAAAGGCGGCAGCTAAGGATGTGCTGAGGAGATGGATCTTCATTTGGACCATTAGGGAAGGGGGGGTCAGTGAGTGAGGAGAACAGAGACCTGGAAGTTGGCTTGACCTTGGGTGGAAGCTAGTGCCGACTCCAAAGCCGAGAACCCCAGGGAGAGGAGCAGGTTCCGGAAAGGGAGAAGTGTTACTTCAAAGATGACTGGTTTGCTTTTAAAAGATCTGTGTGGCCAGGGTTTCTAGGACATTATGTTTGTGAGACCGAAAGCAAACAAATGTCTCGTTCCAAGATTTGGTGAAGCTTTAGCCTGTTGCTAATGTGGTATAAGTGCTGCCACCAGCAGCAGTGGTCACTTTGAGCATCTGCCATGTGCCTGCCCTCGTGTTGAATATTCTGCAGGCGCCGTCTAACTAAATGTCATGAAAACCTTGTTACTCTAAGGAACTATTTGTATCCTCACTTTATGGATCTGGCGATTGAAACTTAGATCTGAAAAGTAACCTCGCCAACATCAAGAGCTGAAATTTGAACCCAGACCCAAGTGATTTCAAAACCAAGTCTCTTTCATTGGTCGTTGCTATAGCAGATACTGTCTGTTCCTTTGTAAAACCTATTCTGAGATCTACGGCCCTCCTGAGTTTTCAAGGCTCTAGCATGTCTCCATGCTTCTGGTCCCTCTAGGACACCCGGAAGAGGCAGAAGCTGTCAGTTGTACTGTAATTATGAGTCTTTATCAAATCCTCTGATGGAATATGAGTATAAAGGAAGTTGTATCTATGAAAGCAGATAAAATTCTTTGTAGAGATTCAGAGAAGACTGATAGCTCAAGAAAATTAGATTGAAAAGGAAATGCAAAAGAGAAAAGCTATAAAAATCTAGAGGAATTTCACACTCATTTTGCCTTGCAAGTATCTTTTTCATCATTTTGAGACAGTGCATTAATTCTTTGGAGTATACAAGCTCTGGTTCTAGTTTATATTAAGAAGGAGTACTACATGAAACATCAGTCAGCATACCTGTGAGCCAAACCTTTTGAAGGAGACTTCTGTGCGCTTGCCCAGGGTGAGCATACTATGAGAGAAAAGAGGACAAGAACTTTGGGGCTCACTACAGGCAGGCGCACGTCTTCAGAGTGAACTGAGGATAAGGTTCAAAGATGCAGAGAGTGCATCTCAACACAACAGGATTATGCACCAGGGCTTCTGGTTGGAGAAAAATGAAAGGAATGTATTTCCATCTATTTTTCTGCAAAGCTTTAGTTCTGTAGACTGCAAACAGCATAGCATAGAAGAAAGAAGTGGGATATGTTAAATGTGTAGATTCAGGAACATAACTAATTGACCTTGAGGAAAGTTTCTGAGCCTCAGTTTCCTCAAGTTAACATGGTATAGTAATATCAGACAGTTTTTAAAGAATGTACAGTGTTGGGCACATTGTAAGTTACAAAAAAAAAAAAAAAAAAAATCACTATTCTTTTTTTTACCCCTTTGGGAGGCTATTTAAAAATATAAGATGTTAGTCAAGAAGGTAGATAAGATGATGAAATGGCAAGAACTATTCTTGCCTCATTTAAAGTAGATTTGCAAGTTGGGACAAAGAACTTTCAAGAGTTTCTGTTTACTTAAAAGATGTTGAGTATTTTCAGAATAAAGAGATAAAGAGAAGAAGGATCAGGATACCAATGGAAACACTTTGTTGTAGCAGTTTTTGGGGGGTACAACATTGTCAATTTTCCTCTGTAAATGTCAAATTCAATCCAATTTAATTTTGAGGTTTATGAAATTCTGTATCAGTCCATGTAATTTATTTTATATTTTCTGACTAACCATAAAAGTAATTTCCATTTTCCACAAAGATAAAAGAATTAGAAGAACATATATTCTGAGTCTACTAAATGTAACTTTTAAACTTCCAGGTGTTTATGGGGTTCTGTAGTAAATCCATACTTTATTCTAAAGCCTGTTTAGGATGGGAGTGATAAATTATCAATGAAAGAGAATGGCAACATGCTTTTAAACACTATATTCAGAGTTTCTGATAAATAATAGTAGAATAAAGACAGTAAAATACACATCTTGTCCTCAGGATGCTTATGAGATTAATTAGAGAAAACACTAGTAGGTGGAAAGATGAAATGAAAGATAACAAATTTTAACAGAATTGCAGGCAGTTTGGGTATTGAGAAGGAGACTGGCAAAGTGAAAAAACAAATCAAAACAATTCTTAGTGACTTACATTTATAAAAAAGATTTTGATGACTCAAATGGATAACAAAGCCAGAATTACACTTAGAGGTGAGAACTGCATATATTGTACAAACCCTAATCCTGTTATTCACTAAAAGGAGTGTTAAAAAATTAATGTGATATAATGCTGCCCTCTCATCAAATGACTTTACAGGGCATTTTCTTGATAGGTTAGAAAACTTCCTAGCAGGTTATAGATATTACCAAGTAAATGCAATTGGCATTCTTGGATTCATTTTTTAAAAAAATATTTTTCAAGATCCTATTATAGGTTAGGCCTCTTCCTAGGCACATATTTATGTTCATTCCCTTAGACATGGTGGAGAAGTATCTATTTTCAAGCTGTTAAAGGAAAATCAAATCATTCATTTCAACTCTTAGGTTTAAAAAGTGCTATGCCGTCATCAGACATGAAATTTAACTTCAGATTTTACTGAGTCATCCATGATGTTTATCAAATTGATGTGATATAGAAGTGAACTTTATATACCGAGCTTAGGCCTTCATACTTGCTGGTGGTTGTAACTACAGGGTTAAGAATAAGTGCAGAGTTTTACACCTCTAAATCCAAACTGTCAGCAGGGTGTCTTGAGATCATGTACTTGCCAGTCTTGCTACATTTCTGTTCATTAACATCCCTGGGATTCATCAAGTACCTATTAGTTCTAAAACTATGTATAAATAGAAGATGAATTAATGTACAGAGTCTCTCACACACACACAAACCAGGTCTGGAGTTAGAGTCCTTTTAAGGTTTACAGGAACTAATCATGCCACAAAAGGAAGCCCTGGGAACACCCAGCCCCCACTGTTCAGCTACCTTCCCTCCCGGTGCCACTGGTCCTTAGAGTGATGTTTACAGTTCGGGTCATTTCAGACGTTTCTAAAGACTCCTAGGATTCCAGGTGCTGATGAACTATACAGTTTCAACATGGAGGCCAGCCACTGCTTTCCCTTTCAGTCAAGGCATCTCTGATTTTTTTTGTGGGGGAAACAGGGAGTTCTAATGTGTACCTAGTGTGGAAAGTCACTGCCCAGTATCAAATATCCTGAGCTTACTTATATACACAAATGCCACCAAAGTCAGAGTCTTCATGACAATAGTCTCTGTGTGTGGGAGAAGAGTCTGAGTATGCTGCGTCATCCTTTGTTGTTCATCATGCTCAGTGGCCTCCAGAAATCATGTGTACATCTGGACACTGCAATTTAAGAGAGAAATTTGAGAACCTGGAGAGATGTCAGTGTACAGGCAGAAAGACAATTACAGAGAATGAGACCTAGGAGGAAATTGCAGTTATTTTACTTTGAAAGAGAGAATTCAGAATGGCAATAATAATGATCTTTCAGAAATTAGGAATTATTACACTGAAGTTAATGACTGGATTTCCTTCATTTGCAAACAGAGTTAAGTAAATACATTTTCAGGTTTAGCAAGAACACTTTAGTGTAGAACCAAAAGATAAAATAGCAATCAGATGCTAAGCTTCTTTAATCAAAGAAATAGCTCACTCAGTACACTATGAAATGTTTTAAAGGCAATATAAATTCTTATCTGTTTTATATATTAAATGTAATACTGCCTGAAGGAACAGGGGTTAATTAAAGAAACTTTGTTTTTCAAACCTGTGAATCAGTGATTTATCTTCAAATTAAATCAGAAAGTATAGATCTCAAACAATTAACCTGGTGCTGCCAGGAAAGGAACCACTTTCTAATCATGTTAAGGAACTTAGTGGTGAGGAAGAATATATATTCCAGGGGTTGTGAACTCAGATACGTACAGGGGTCCAGGGGTATCATGAAGGAGTGATGCTAACAGCTTAGTATAATGAATTATGGAACTTGTGGTGTATTAGAAAGTGTGTGACCCATGTAAACAAACAACCACTGCTGACTCTGACCAGTGGTTCTCATGTCATAATGTGCTTATATTGTCAGATCTTTGGTTCTATCAAAAAAAGAAAAAAAAAACCTGGAAATTAGAATATTAGGTGACCTTTTTTTTTTAAAACGTTGTCAAAATGCTCACATTTATGAAAGTAGTACTAAACAGGCAAATCTATGCACCCATATGGGCTGTAAGTTAGAAACTTCATTTGCCATTTAGGTCACTAGTTAACCACCATGTTAGTTAAACAAGTAAATGAAGCAGAGTTGATTGAACTCTAAAGCTTAGGAGAATTAATCTACCAGACCTTTTTTTGTAAGGCTTAAATAAGGTCCCTTCCAACTCTGTGAATCTTTTGACCTACCATTTCTTCTTCTCTGTCAATATTGGGTGACTTAATGCATTACAGGTGGTAGGAATTGAAAGGAATTACTTATTTCTCTTAGCAATGTAATTTTATTTAGTAAAACCATCCTTAGATTTAAAAAACCATCCTAACCAATACTTAGATTTAAAATAGTTTGTTGCTTCACTAAAGATACTGCTGATGCTGTTAGATTTTCAGAAATGCACTTATATATGTCATAGACATGTCACTTTGGATCTTTGAACTAACATTCATAACCCTAGCTGCATGAGGCACGTCTGACTCAAAAGCCTACTTACACTTTTACCACTTGGTGACATATTTTATTTCTCTTTTATAAAATATTTTAAAAATAACCCACCTCCACATGAGTAATAACAGCTGGATTTCTGAACTTCCCTTCGTTTTAGACAGGAGAGTATGCCACAGATGAAGAGGAGGACGAGGCCGGGCCTGTTCTTCCTGGTGGTGACATGGCCGTTGAAGTCTTCGAGCTGCCTGAGAGCGAGGACGTGTTCTCCCCGTCAGGCCTGGACACAAGCAAGCTCAGTCACAAATTCAAAGAGGTGAGCTGCCTGTCTGCGAAACATTTTTCTCTACCTGTCCATTTCATTCTTAAGTATATACTTTTGTTAGAAAAATATATTAAGAATAATCAGTTTTCAAAAGAATGCCTTTCAATTACAGATTGTCCAGAATCTGTAATTCTGTAATTACAGATGTAATTACAGATGTAATGCCTGTAATTCTTCATTGAATTTCAAGGCAAAAAGTTAAGTAGATCTCATTTTACAGTCATTAATTTAAATGCATTAAATTAATACAATCATTATTTGTCATGGTGACAGTTTCTAACTTGTCTGTTCCATAATTTCAAGCTACAGCTTTAATTTGCATCTTTTTGTGTGATAAGTTCAGGTTATATTTTTAAAGCTTTATGAAAGTTTCGGGAACTGGTTTCCTCGAAGGCAGTGATTGCTAAAAAGGATTTTTTTTTTTTCTTTTCCTAAACTAGACAAGATTCCAGCAGGGATTAGATGGTATTCCCAAATGGCTTAATTGAAGAAAGTTCAATTTCTTGAAAAAGTTCAAGGAAAAAAAACCACTTTTTAAAAAACTTTTGATTTTATCTCAGAATATGGTTGAATGAACGTTGAGCAGAGTTAACAGAACCACCAAGTGATATTACAGTGCACAGGGACCAGCGGCAGCAGAACTGACACCATCTTTTGACTTAATGGGTGAAGAGGGAAAGAGAGAACCTTTTTTTGAAGGCGGGCCATTCACCATCTGCAGCTTTGTAAGATGCAGCCACTGCTAAAACCTACAACTTGGGAGTGAGGGTGATAATATACCAAGACCCTCCTCTCTGGCTGATGCTGCCCATCAGTCTAATCCAGGTAGGAGGGCCTCGGCGATTCAGTCCTGAGGCAGGAGCTGTCAGAAATGGGCCAGGATCCCCAGGGGGCGAAGGGAATGTAGATAACCACAAAACTCTTCTTCCAGATTAACTTCTCAGAACCTCAACATATAAAACGGAAACAGTGATGAATGCGTCCCCAGGCATTTCACTCTCGGTTGTTTCGTGGAACTTCCTCCATTGTTGACAACAAATATGTCATTATTTACAACCTCCCTGCAATAACTCTGAACCACTGAGGCTTGGAAACCACTGTTCTGTGGTTACAAGTCTCTTAGGGACCTGACCCCACTTGGAAAGCATATTTTCCTATTCAAGAAAAACAAGGTTGATAATTGCAGATTTCTCATATCTAACTTTGATGTGTTAGAAACGGGGACTCGTAAACTTTTATTTATTTATTTATGTCTGTGCTGGGTCCGCGCTGCTGCACGCAGGCTTTCTCTAGTTGTGGCGAGGGGGGCTACTCTGTCCCGAGGATGCCTGAGCGTCTCGTGGCGATGGCTCCTCTTGTTGCCGAGCAGGGCTGTAGGGCGCTTGGGCTCAGTAGCTGCTGCTCTTGGCCTCAGTTGCTGCATGGCCTGTGGGATCTTCCGGGACCGGGGATGGAGCAGGCATCTGCATCACAAGGCAGAGCACCAGGGAAGCCCAGCAGGGAAGTTTATATGTTCTCGTGTTATACCGGAGACACCTAGTATATTGACTTACCTTTTTAATTCCTCATGACACATTTGTGAGGCCAGCGTCACAGTGAGTGTACTTTTCACATATAAGGTTTTATTAAATAAAACAGCTTATGTTCATTATAGGGTTTTGGAAAGTACAGATTTGTATAAATGCCCAAGAAGTCATTCATAATCCCAATATTGTGTTATTTGATATTATGGGATATATACTATGTTAAACTCCTGCTTTTGACACTAAAAACTGTATTTTTAGGATCTTCCCATGTCCGGAGAAGGCAATGTTAACCCACTCCAGTACTCTTGCCTGGAAAATCCCATGGACGGAGGAGCCTGGTAGGCTGTAGTCCATGGGGTCGCTAAGGGTCGGACATGACTGAGCAACTTCGTTCACTTTTCTCTTTCATGCATTGGAGAAGGCAATGGCAACCCACTCCAGTGCTCTTGCCTGGAGAATCCCAGGGACGGGGGAGCCTGATGGGCTGCCGTCTACAGGGTCGCACAGAGTCAGACACGACTGAAGCGACTTGGCAGCATGTCATCAAATATTTTTCCAAAACTGATGCTTGTTTACTGTTTATCTTATGGGTCTTATATAATTTACTTCATCCCTTGCTTTGGAACAGTTCCTCTATTTACAGTTCTTTTTAAATTATTAAAAATAATATTGTAACAAATACTACATTTTCCTTAAGATAATTTCTTACAGTGGAATTATTATAGAGTATGAGTATTTGAGGGGCTTGTACTTAGTACCAAGTTGCCACCAGCATGGTCTTTTTCTTGGTAATATAGAAATTTGTTATGTCTCCCAATGAATGTGTTTAGAATGCCCATTTCTCTTCCACATGTTATTATTAGTCAGATTGAACCATTCCCATTTATATAGCTCACAGAGTCCTTCAAGCAGAATACATGGGTTTTCCAGATGATTTATGACTATTCCTAGTTCTAAATCAGACACAAACGTCTTGGTGACAATGAAGTACACTATTATGTAATGATCAGAATTCTCTTAGAGTAGAATAGCAATGCCTATCTTAGGACCATTTCTTATAAAGGCTTTCTAGATTAACTGATATCTTCAAAGAACAATGCAGAGAAGTGGCCAGGTGGAAGTGGTATAATCTGTTTCTCCTCAGCTCTGATGTAGCTTAAAATCACATATTGTCTGAAGAGTAGATGAACTGTTTGTTCTTTAAAACAATCTTCCTTGAATATTGTAACTCTCAATCTAACTTTGGGGCAGTGAGGACAAGGTTGTGTTCCCTGGCAAAAGTCTTTTATGTAACTTACATGTTGCCAGGTGAATATGATCCCTACTCTTTGGAAGATAATTGAGGTGGAATCAGAGTACCTGTTTTTGTTTTTTTAAATGGAAGTTAAAGAGCTTAAAAAGCAGAAATAGTAAATAAAGGTTATAGCCTCCATTTTCTGAATTGAGCCAAGTACTCAATACTCCAGAAATATTGTTTGAAATGGACTCTGTAGTGCAGACAGCTACATGGTCTAGACTGGGGGTCAGCAAACTATGGCCCATTGGCCAAATCTGATCACTGCGTTTTTTATCAATAAAGTTTTACTCAAACACAGCCACCGACATCCATTTCTGTGTTGTTATTTGTTGCTGTCTACTTGTTTGTGGCTCTTCCATTCTACAGCGGTAGAGCTAACTAGCCGCTCGGGAGCCACATGGCCTCTGAGTCCTGAAGCGCTGCCTGCACCTGACAGAGACGGGCTGCGGACGTTGCTGTGGGCTGCTGTGTGGTCTGGGGCCGCTCTTTGTGACATGGCTGATGCAGCTTTAGCCTGAGTAACCAAACCTGCACTTTTAACTTGGCTTTTAAGAGCTGAACGTTTGTCACCATCTCTAAAACAGGCAAATACTGTGTCATTTCACTTAAAATCCTTTTATTCTCTTTTGTTTTACATTTAACTTATGAACATATTCATTTGTTCGGGGGTTTACCGCAGAGTGTCAGCTGCCTGGCGCTCTGTCACAGGATCTGTGTCCTGTACGCTGCCACTGCCTCAGTTTCAAACTTCTTTACGTGATTAACATCACATGCCCAAAATTAGGCACAGAATCTGGGGTGGAGGTGCAGAGGCATTTTGTGTTGGAGTCTGTAAAAAAATCTCATATTACAGAAAGAGTTCTCTTAATTATATTATTTCAACCAAAACTATACATTATACTGTTTGGGCAAAGTGCATTATACTAACATTCTCGCAATCATTCCTATTTTTAACATACTCTGTATCTTGCAACTGAACTCTAACCTCCTCTATTTTCTGTTGAATATTTTATCCAGTCTTTGCACAGTTCTTGGGATATACTTAGTGGTTATATTCATATTCAAACATTCATATTTGGTGAATGAATGGTATCAAGCATATACTAGAATTTGTTGTATAATATAAGACAGTTATTTAATTTCCCAAATAGTTGACAAGGGGGCTAGCACATTTATTAAATGCTCGTTTAACCATTTCCTTCTGGTTGGAAGGCCAGCATTTTTATCTGCAGTATTTGTCTTTACACTCTGGACTGCCTTTGACCTTCATATTCTGTTTCATTTTCTCATTAATCTTTGGCTCAGTAATGTTAGAATATATATAAAACATTAATGAAATAAATCAGATCCACCCAACTCTTCTCTTCAAAAATTCCTTTACTTTTCAAGTTATTCAAGAAAACACTTGAATCATTTTAACTCCCTTGAAGAAACTTCTTTGCATTTTTTACTGTAATTTCGTTAAGCTAGTAAATTAACTTGCAAATAACTGGCATTTTTATCACATTGACTCTTTTAAGCCAAGTTCATGGAACATATCTGATTAATTAAAGTCTCTCTGACCCTCTCTCAAATTTTATACTCCCCTCTATTATGTGTCACCTATAAGTAATTGAAAGTCTTAACCAGAGTGGATTAATCAAAAGCTGCCACAAAGGTTATATTAGCTCCAATATAAGTAAAGAAGTTGTATTTATTTTTCTATTTTCAGAAATGACTTTTATAAAAGAGACTTAATGACTTTCATAAGATCAAAATTTGTGTTCCCTGAAAGTTTGTTATTACTCAGCTGTAAAACCACATGTCCATTTGTGGAGGAAGACTTTTAGAATACATTTTATAATAGCTATTACTCTTTTCAAGTTTTCAAGTTTTTCTTGGGCCAGCTTTGGTATTTTGTATTTCTCAAGAAATTCATATATTTCCTCTAGGTATTCATATCTATTAACTTATATTTTTATAATATGGCTTTAAAATATTGAAATCTTTAGTAGCTATAACTAGTTACCTTTTTAATTCTTTTTTTCCTTTGAACATGCTCAATTTTTTCTTAGTTTTTTCCTAGAATTTATCTGTCAAGTTAGTTTTACATTTCCATTTTTTATTTTTAAATTTAAAAATAAGTATTTTTTCCTACCAATATCTTTATTTTTTCTCCTGTTTTATTT